GAAAGAAGGGCCCAACCGGGGACCTCTTGATCTGCAGTCAAATGCTCTGCCACTAAGCTATGGACCCTCATGTGATAAAATAGATCTAACATTGCATTTAATAATATTAAAATTTCTTCGTTCACAATAGAGACTTTTTTCAATAGAAAAATTTTCTGAAATAATAACGTATTTTCAAATTAGGTTTTTTTTAATAATTTGTATATTGTTAATTTAAATATCTAATTTAGTAGAAAAAGAAAAATAAGTACATAAAAAGATCAAATAAATAGGAGACATTTACTTATATATAAAGTAAATATATATATATATATATAACAAAAAAAAAGCTATCTTTCTAAAAAATAGAAATTATGATATTTTTAGAATAAATACTAAATTTATGCTGTCTAGTAAAGTTTCTGGAAAAGAAATTCTGAAAGTTGTGATATATATTGATTAAATCACCATGTTTTATTTTATTTTGTTTATTCAGAATAATATGTTTAGAAACGTAAAAAAAGACGGCTGACAACAGAAATTATCTTTTATATCCTTTTTCTGTAGGATACTTCTATTTTACATATTCCTTCAAGCAAATAACTATATTTAATCTCTATTTTCGTTCCATATACCATCAAACAAATTAACCAATTTAAAATGTCGTATTTTGAGTACAACAAGTGGAGTGGGGTGGGGGATCGAACTCACAACTTCTTAGTCGGAGATTTATATCAATTATTGCTGAGGTAAATTCGTTTTGACAAATTTTCATTAAAATATTTTAATGTCATACAACAACAAATCTATCACTCTCAATAATTATATATATTTAAAATGTGTGTATATATACTTTTTAATCCATCATTGTATATTTAAATTCCTAAATAAATAATAAAGGATTAACGCTACTTTATTTGATAACAAAAGTATCGCAACAATGTAGGTAATAAATTATACTTTATTATACTTTTAATATTTCGTCAAAAATCTTAATTGTTATATTGAATAGAATACTAGATTTTGTGGCGAAGACTTTAGACAAGAAAATTTGAAAAACTAACCATATAATAGACAAACATGTTAAATAGATAAATTTGAAATTTGAAGGGAATTGGAAAAAAAAAAAGAAATTTGAATAAAAAAAGAGCATCCAAACCTTTTATTTGATCATATCATTTAATGATTATCTCATGCTCTTAATCCCTAATTATAATCCTAAAATCTTAAAAACTAGGGATACCTTTTTTCGATTAAAAGTCACAAAGTTGATGGGTTAGTTTTTAGTCAACTCGATTAGCTTCCTCTATTTCATTATAGTTGGCCGAGTGCCATTATTAGAGACATGACTTAGGAGATAATATCTCTTTTAATTAATTTTTATGATCATTGTGATCYATAATTGCATAAATTAGTAAATTTTAGGAAAAAATCTTTTTTTATTCACTTACTTAGTTAAGTGAAACTTTAATTTTACAGGTTGAATCTAGATAAGTAGTAAAATTAATATCATTTATTACGAGGTTCTATTTTTAACAAAATTTACCTAGTTAGGAAAGATTTTGTAGTTAGATAATCTTATTTTTCCAACTTAGATGTTTTTAGTTGGTCAAAACGATTATAATTCAACGATAATTGACATATATTTCTAACTAAGAGGTTCTGAATGCCGGATCGAGTATAGTTCAGCGGTAATTGGTATATACCTCCAATTAAGAGGTTTTTAATTGGATTTGGACATTTATGTTCGTGAGTATTGGTGTTTTGGGTGAATTTTATATGATTTAGTAATTTTTTACTTTGACAAAAGATAAAATTGACACTTTTTTCCCTCTAAAATTTAAGTTTGTAACAAATACTAAAATTTCAAAAACTTGAATATATTTGTGTCCAAGCTATGGGAAAATGTAACAACTAATTAACAAGATAAACTTGAATCACTTTAATTAATATATCCCCCAAGATTCAACATAGACCAATGAACCGCCCAAGAAAGAAAAAAAGGTCAAGATTTCATCATAATCAAAGATTCTTTTTGACTAAATTACATGTCTCAAGATTATAACATAGTAAAAAAGAAAAAGAAAAAAAAAAGTTCACATAGTCAACATGAGGATAATTATAATATTAAAGTATATTCGTAAAGTCATACATGGAATCAGGTGGATTTAGAAGAAATTAGATAAACACAAATCTCAAAAAGACATCGTAATTATTACTTATGTTTTAATTTTTTTGTTAATTCCAATATAGTGGCTGCT